CCCCCCCCGGGCGAAACAACATTAAAATTATGTACGATTTACGTTTGGGTAACGGCTGGCTCACGAGGATCACCGAAACACAGTTCATTACTCGTTGAAAAAATTGTCACGATGTACACAATGCTCGTGTTCGTCTGAGATCTCGAAAGGCGAAACCCTTTCCCCAGTGAGAAGTGCTGTGCACGGCTTGAACCTTCAATGCATAAATGTCACTATTTATTCCGTTTCATTCTATCCAGTGCAATCCAATGTTGCTTTCCTCACCACAGCTGGTCTACAAAATTTGTCAAGTTTACTGATTAGAGTGAATGCATCATTACCATCACATAAACTTTGCTTTTACAAACAGACGGTAAGCGTTCAACGACCAACAAAGTGTCCATCTAACTAGGTCTTACCACTCTGTATTAAAAGTGCTTTCGAATGTACAAAATCAAAGGAATTGTCCGTCGTAGAACCTAGAAGATTAAGATCCTTGACGGCAACAACAGATTATTCCGTGTTTCTAGATCAGAACCCATCTATTCTTTGTGAGCATATTATTGACAATCTTAACTTTTCTTGAGAGCCCAAAAAACTGTCATGATCACAGAACGTGTTGAATTCGACTGCTTTGTAGCAATCTCATCAACTGTGACAGAACTAGGGACGCCTTTCATGACGTGATCCGCCAGAAAGAAATCCATCTCGGACGGTTCGGTGAGGCGGTTGCCATTCGACGTTACAAGCCCCATTTGTGTAAACCGCTACTCGAATTCGTATCCATTCTCACACTGCCCGGGTAGATGTCACTATCCTTCCCCCGGTCTGCAGAATAATTGTGCTCCCTGTCCCTATACCCGATGTGGTTCTAATTAGTGACTGATTTCAGTTCAACCCCTCCCCCCTGTGTGTGTGTGTTTGTTCCCAAAACCTGTCACTGTTTTAACCAAGTTCGGACTGAATGGGTGTACACAGCTGCTGACGAGATAACCAAGATATAGTTTAATTCAACACATATCTTGGGATCATGAGACTTCTTCTTGTTTTCATGAAAGCGTTGAAGGGAACTGTTTACAACAAATATCTTACTTCTTACTTTAACAAATTTTGCCCCCTTGAAAAGCTGTCTTAATAGACAAGGATAGTGAGAGAGAGTAGGCCTAAAATACGGGCAGGAAACGCACGTTCAGAGACTGACAAGGTTGATCAAATCTGAACTTAATTGTTTAAAACATCGGCTGGTGTAGCCAGTAGAGACCTGTCACATATGCGTGTATTATGGTAGCATAAATAAACACGATGTTTCCAGTTCAGCCTAATGTTGGAGAACACCGCTCCACCAGACTTCTTCAGGTGTAAGCGACCATCAATTGTGAAACCCACCACATGGTCCTCCAACAGATGAATTATCACCCATATTACTCAGGGTATGTGCGGGTACCGTTTCAGTTCCATTATTTAACATCTTCAATGAGTGTCGACGGTTAAGTAGAAACATTTCGGACATTTGGAGACTAGCCACGATAACTCCGGTCCCCCCCCCCTCAAAAAAGTAAGCTAGAAAGTATCCTCGCATCATAACCTCTGCGTTGGTTATACTCAAGAGATTTGAGAGATGTTTGCTACCGTGGTTTGTCACGGAATCAATCCACCAAAAATGATATGCATCAATTTACATATCAGTCTGTGATCTCCCTTCACACTTCATTCCGTTGCTTATCTTGCCACTCGAAAATCGCAGCTCTTGACAAGTAGTATAAGACCGTCAGAATAATGTTCTTAGACTACAAAACACACTCGGCATTT